TCAAATATTTAAAAAAAAGAAGTGAGATAATTGGTAAGGGAGGATTGCCTGAAATCTGCCATGGTTACGATCCTTAGGGCAGTGGGATTACATAGCCATTATCCTACAGTTGGTTAAACGCAAATTTTAAGATTTTAACCCCAATGTCTAATTATCTCATGGTCACTTTAAAAGTGCATGAGGAACATCTGACTCTTTCCCAGGCTTACTTATTAACTGTTTGGAGTTAGCTAGGTTTGGGTGCTGGGTAGGACTGCCCACAATACTGAAATAACTGAATGCTAGCAAGGGAAAGCAAATTGCCACTGGCTAAGCAGGGGATGGTTTTTGCAAGTTATGGGCAAGTGTTCACTAGAGCAGCAGCTTGGCATCCTGCAATGACCTGAAAAAAAGGTGAGTATAGGAGAAACTGTCTCAATTGTGCCCATCTATCTACCTCATTTTCCTTGCAAAAAGGCTGGCTTTACTCCTGTGGACTGTTAAGATTTCCAGTTAGGATTCCCTCTGCTCCCTATTTCAAAACCAGGGAAGCAAAACCTACTACTCAGCCTAGGAAAGCATGAGATGCCCAAGTGACAGCACGAGGAGTGCTCAGTAACTGTGAGCAGCTGCTTGCACACACAGGAGACAGCTGCCTGCTTTCCAGCACACAGAGAACACCCTATCGTTTTAGGACAAATTTTTATTAATCAGCACAAAACTGAAGCAGGAGAACAAACTATTTCTCCAGCCTTGCTGCAACTACTTCCCTTTGTTTTTCACGTGTGTTTCAGGTTACTAGAGGAGCCTGTCTCTTTCCTTTTGATCTCTCAGTCTTTCAGGGACAACACTTAACCACATTTTAGCTGGGCTAAAATTCAGGCAGGTCTGCCTGGCTACGGGTTTTTAGACACAAGAGCATATAAGCATAACTAATTAGCATACAACGAAAATGTCCTTTAGAAAAATGTTTATTGCCTATTTAGAATAACATTCTGTATGTTTCCTTTTAGGTGCTAGAGAGAGCATGTGGAATAAGAAAAAAAAAGTAACTCCTTCCCAAGGCTATTTAGTGAAAACACACAGTGGACTTGCAATCCACAGCCAATGTTACAACTTAATGCTGTAATTTTAATTTGTCTTCTTTTACCTCAGAGAAAAAAAAAAATTACACATTGACCTTCAAGTGAGTGTGACTTCTTTTCCTATTTAAAAAACATTCTAATGGGGTAGCTCAAGTTTGAAATAGATGTCAATTCCCAATCCAAAATTATTATTCTTGCTCTTGCAGTAAAAAATATTTTATTTTACATACTTTATCCTGTGAAATACCTTCAACAATTCCAATTTTTGGCTCTTCTTATTCAGCAACAGATGCTCAAATGACAATTCTCACCAGGCATGCTCCCCAGAATTTAGATTCCCAGCAGTCACATCAGCTATTACACACATCACCAGCTTGAACATAGTGCCACGCTTCCATCTGGAGCCTGGGGCTGGACAGATAGGTAGCAGTGCAGCGGACAGGACAGAACAGTGTAGATTTTAGGTATGTTTCTTGGATATTTGAGATGCAGATGTAAGCCATCAAACTCCCATAAACTCCTTTGTGGTCTTAGAAGCTTCCAGTATTATGACAAATGCAACTTACTTCCATTTGGTTTTTGTGGGTCGCAGATTCAGTCAAAGAGAGAAACTGAGAGTTTCTGGCCAGGCAGAAGCCTGGGAAAGAGCTGGAGAAGAATGTAAATAATTTTTTATCTCTCTTGTTATTCACATTGTTTATAGTTAAGTTCTATCACTGTGCGTCAAGCACTTTGCACCAATGGTGTGGCTTGTTTTCACTTCAGGACCAATGGAGTTGGTCCTCACGAAGCTCTGTATAAAAGAGCGGTGTATTTTGAATAAACCGGAGTTTCACTCTCAGCAGCCTTCTGGTCAAAGTCTCTTCATTCCCGTCCTGCCTCGACAGCGACATCTGGTGACCTGACGTGGAATTGCATCCTTGGTTGAAGACCCGAACCTGACGTCTTGCGGGGGGTCTCCCTCTGGAGGCTGTGCTCGGACACCTTTGCTTCTTAAAAAAGGCCACGCTGGAACTCCACGCCTTCTGGAGAAGGCTGGGTCCTGTTTGGACTGCGGATCGGCTCTTAAGAGCCGAACTGTGCGAGACGGGTTTTCCCTAGAATAGCAGAATGTCGGACTCTTGAAGTTGACATCTGCTTGGGAAAGGTTTCCTAACAATGGGAAACCAGCCACCTGCAGTGGAGCGAGCAGTCTTGACTGCCTGGTGAGCCTGCATCACTCTTGGCGGAGCTTGGCTCTTTGAGGAAGACCTGGTCAGACTCTTGAGTTGGACTCTTGATTTTCTGCAAATCCTAGGTCCCCCTTTGATCGTAAGGTCTGGCTCGACTTGGGACGCTGTCTCATGGTGCAAATGCGCAACGGGGACGCTACAGCGTCCGAATTGGCTCCAATCTGGGTGGGCATCGACGTAGCCTTGGACACAGGCAACGGTTCCGAACGGAACATTCTGGGATCCCGGACGCGGACCGCGCCGCAGCCCACGCGGCGGCTGGCTGCGCGGGCACACCCTGTCCAGAGAGCGGTGCCGCTGACACTGCCCGCCTCTCCCGAGGCAGCCGGGGCGCCTTTGCCACAGCCATCAGCTTCAGCACACCCGGCGTTGCATGGACTGAACGGGGCGGCCCCGGACTGGCGGGAGCCGCCACCTCCCGCAGCCCCACAGCCCCCCGCTTTCCAAACTGCATTTGCGGGGGGGCCGGCGCTACCCGCGGCACGTCACGGAGTGGGGGTTGACTCCCCCCCGACTGCTTCGCTGATGGAACCTGCGTAGACGGCGATGCAGCCTTTGGTCCATCCCCTGGCACGCCCACCGCCACCCGCGGGGCTTTCGACTGTGCCGGCGGGACAGGCTTTGCCTCCCGGTTCGCCCCTCTGCGCACCATGCGGACCGGCTGCTTTGATTTCATTTACGGTGCCGGTATCTGTCGTCCAACAGCACGTTTTGAGCGGGACACCCAGGCTGTTCTCCGCTCTGCCCACTGTGGGACGGACTCCCGCGCCGAGGGTGGTGCCTGCCTTCACGCCATGCCTGACATGGCGCCACCCTGCCGGCAGTACGTTTCACTGTCACGCCCACCACTGCTCCGGCAGCAGCACCAGCCTCGCCTCCACCCACCCCGGGACCACCGGTGTCACTCCTGGGAGAAGCCGCCGCGGCCGCAGTGCTGCCCACTGCGGCTCTGGTGCTCGTGCTGCCCGCTGCGTTGCAGCTGCAAGCGCCAAGAGCGCCGCCGCCGCCGTCGACCTCGGAATCGGCGGAAGTGCCGCAGCTGCCGCCGGGAGACGCGGCCGCGCCGCCCACCTTGCTCATCGCTGGGGAGGGGCGCCCAGAGGGCGCAGTGGCTCCCGCCGCCGCACCCCCTTGAAGCTGGCTCATCAGCAGCGGCTCTGCCCTGCGATCCGGCGGCCGAGAGCCCCGTGTTGGACATTGAGTCCAGCCTGTTTGTTTCAGAGCCTGAATCCAGGCTTTCGTCCCCTCCAGACAGTACCGAGCTCTGCCCCTCCGAGAGAGAGGCGGCGGGAGGGGGCACCATCTTGGCCAGCAGCAGCGCCATTGCTGCTGGTCCCGAAGCTGGGAATGAGGGGGGTGGGGCCGCGGATCGGGGAGCTGCGCAGGGACAGGAGAGCAGTTCCTTGTATTGGGCGGGCTTGGATGGTGCAGGGAGCCCCGGAGCCTGGGTGGAATTTTATATTCCCGGGGAAACAGCCCCTTCTCGCACCCTTCGTGTCCCTCTCTCGTGGTTCACAGAGCGAGATGCCAAGAACTGTGGGAAAACTCATTACTAGGCGGGGTGGGGGAAGGGCAGAAACTCGGAGGAATTGCCGGGTTTCTCGCAGCCTGTTAGGAGCGCGCATTGAACTATAAGGTTGGGGGAGGTCACTCATTTATTGGTGGTCATGGGGTGTCCCCGGGACCCCAAATTCAGGGGCCCCAGGAAATACCAAAGAGAAGCTGGGGGCCGAGCCGGGTGAATCTTGGAATCTTGGCTCAGTAGAGAGCCTGGGCTCCCCGCCCCCCCGGCCGGGTTTGGGACACTTGGCCCTGCCCACGGGGCCAGGTCCTCCGCCTGGCCTAGCATCGCAGGGTCCTGGAGCCCGCTGCTGGCTCTTCAAAAAAAAAAAAAAAAAAAAAAAAAAAAAAAAAAAAAAAAAAAGCGGAAAGAGCTGTGTTTTCACTAACAGTTCAAAGTACTGGAAAGCCACGAATCAGCCTCAGCCCAAGTGATTTAATTAAGGCTGTGTCCATGGCATTTCAGAGATTTCTCAAGTGTTTTGAATTTGGTCCTTTCTGAATTGGGTCAATTTCACTCAATTGTTTTGAAAGCTTTGAGGATGCAATTTGGATCTAAGTTCAATTTCACCACTCAAGCTGTCCATTGAGGACATGACTGCATAGGCAAAGCCTTGCATGATTCCTTTATTAAGTGCACACACCTTGCAAATGCAATTCTGATGAATGCCAACCAAGGCTTCACCTGTTGAACCTTACAGGCTGGGACAAATCCCAGAGGCCTAAAGGCTTTGCAGCTGTGCAAACAGATGTTATTCATCTTGCCAAATCCAAATTTGGCTGATTTGGTTATGTGCATGTGTTGTAAATACCTTCTTTTCTGTCATGTCATACTCACACTGGGAAAAGGGTTTTGACAAGTTGGACTGCCAGTCGTTTGACAGTCTGACAAGTCTTAGAGTTGGTAATTGATTCCTTGAAAATTATAAGTTTGGAAGCTCTTTGACCGATCTGAGCCAACATCAAATGAGGTTTTGAATTATCAACTAGTGAACCTTGGAGTCGTGTTTGTCTGAAATGTGGGTCTCAGATTCAGTCAAAGAGAGAAACTGAGAGTTTCTGGCCAGGCAGAAGCTGGGAAAGAGCTGGAGAATGTAAATTGATGTAAATAAACGGGCCAGGAGACCTTGAGCTCCTTTTTTGATAAGGTCTTTATTAAGAGGATAGCCTATGGGGTGGGGGACTCTACTGTGGCTCGTTGGTCTGGGGGGCTTTACCTCGCTTTGTCTCCTTCTGGTTACAACAATCAGCTTCAGAAATGCTGAGGGCCGTCTCCAGCTCCTTGGAACTTCCCCTGCATGTAGGTGTAGATCATTTTGCAGTCTCTGCTCTTGGCTCATTGTCTGGGTCCATTCTGGTTTATGTTGAAGTCCAGTAATTAATATACAGTAGATGCTAGGCCCTCTGGGAAACAGGACGTCTTCCTTGGGAGCAACTTCCTGGGAGCAGCTTCTGAACTACCCAATGCAGTGTAAGGGACAGAAGGGGCTTCAAGCTACTGGAAACAGGAAAACAAACAGGTAGGATTTCTTCTACAAAGGATTTTAACAAAGGTACCAACGGCAGGAAGGGGTACAGTGGCTCGGGGAGTTAACTGGGGGTGTAAACTGGGTATAGGGGCCAATACGTAAGGGTGGAACTAACAAATACATGAACAAGCGAACTTCCGAACTGTGAGGAGGTAAACAGGCAAAGGGTTAGACATTAAATTTATTCATAACATAAATAATTTTTTATCTTTCTGGTTATTCACATTGTTTATAGTTAAGTTCTATCACTGTGCATCAAGCACTTTGCACCAATGGTGTTGATTGTTTTCACTTCTGGACCAATGGAGTTGGTCCTCACGAAGCTCTGTATTAAAGAGCGGTGTATTTTGAATAAACTGGAGTTTTACTCTCAGCAGCCTTCTGAGCCAGTCTTCTCATTCCCGTCCTGCCTCAACAGCAACAGGTTTTTTTAGGACTTTGGGGACTGTTACCTTAGAATCTTGGAATCACAGAATGTCAAGGAGTTAGAACAGACCTTAAAGATCATCTATTCTCATCTCTCCTGCATATGGGCAGGGATACCTCGCACTAGTGCTGCTAGAGCTTTATCCAAGCTGCTCCATGCTTTATCCAGCCTGACTTTGAATGCTGCCAGGGATGGGGCATCCACAACGTCCCTGGACAACCTCTTCCAGTGTCTAACCACCCTCACAGAAAAGAATTTCTTCTTAATGTCTAACCTAATTTCCTTTCTTTCAATTTGAACCCATTACCTCTTGTCCTATCACTGTAGTCCCTGACAAAGAATCCCTCTCCAGCTTCCCTGTAAACTCCCATCAGATACAGGAAGGTTGCTATGAGGTCTGCACACAACCTCCTCTTATCCGGGCTGAACAGCTGCCTCAGCCTGTCTTCGTAGGGAAGGTGCTCCGGTCCTCTTATCAACTTGGTGGCCTTCCTCGAGACGTGCTCCAGCCGCGCTTGGCTGTCGCACATATACGCGAGGAGCAGATGAAGGACAAGTCTCACTGGCAACACCTTCCGGTGGGCTTCACCTTCCCAAATCTACACCGCAGCTTTGCTGCCCAGCTTTCCTCCGGCAGGGAACCGGAATGCTCCCACCGGCCTCTCCTGCAACCGGGCAAAACTCCCGTCAGGGCCGGTAGCCTCAGGCCTGCCGCTCCCGGCGCCTCCCCCCGTTCCGCCGCCGGGCGCCGCCCCCGCGGCACCTGCGCGGAGGCGGCGAGGGGTAACGGGCCAGCGCCGGCTCCGCCCCGGGCCCGCCTCCGGCCCCGGCTCGGTCCCAGCCCCGGCTCTGCCCGGCCGAGCCGCAGCCCGGCGGCCGCACCGAGCTATGGCGAGCGCGGCGCTCCTCGCACAGCCCCAGGAACCGGAGGCCCCGCAGGAGCGAGGCGCGGCGGCGCCCGGGGAGACGGAGCCGACGGAGGCGTCAGGCGGGGCCGGGGCGGCGGCGGTGCTGGGAGAGACGGGACTGGCCGTGGGCTGCTGCATCGCGGCGGCGCTGAGCTGGGAGCGGCCCCTCTGCAGCCTGGGCGGCTTCGTCTGCGCCAACCTGCTCTTCTGGTGAGCCGGCCGGACCGAGGTCGGGGCTGCCTCCCGCCCCGCGCTCCCCTCGGCCCCGGGAGCAGCGTTTGCCCCCTGCTCTGGCGGGGAGATGGCCGCGCCCCCAGCGAAGGAGGGTCCTGCTCTTCTTCGCTTCACCTGCGCCGCGGCATTCCCTGCCCCCAAGCCGCTGCCCCGGGTCTGGCCATGGCTCTCGCGCTGAGTGCATCCGCTTGGTCGGGTTCTTTCACCCTCGGTTTCTGCCCCAGCCTCGCACACATACACCTTCTGCCCGCTTATCCCACAGCCTGATGCGTGATGATGATGATTATGAGGAATCTCAGATGGAAGCTGAGCAGGGCGGCTGCAGGACACCCGGCTGAGAACTCGCATTTGTCACAGCCGTGGAGAGCGCGGGCCCGCATTTCTGTGCAGAGTTTTGAAACCTACTGAAATCAGGTCCCGAGCCCGTCGACTGTGCTGTGCTGATGCCCTGGTCCAGTACTTTAGAGTTCATTTTGGGCATATATGCTTTTCCAAATTGGTGGCCTACTTAGTGGAGTCTTTGTGAAGTGGGAACAGCCGGAATGTTACTGCAGTGTACCAGTCCTCTTTTTGGACTAAGCTTTTTGTAGTTGGAGACAGTTTAGTTGAATAAACCCCAGAGATTAACATAGGGATGTGTTCATTGTTGTGTTTGTCATGTGTCTTTTTAATTTCTGTAAGAAAAAAGTTGTCTATGCGAAACTTCAGGGCTTTCCCGTGATCTTAGGTTTTGCCAGTGCTTATGTTTTTTTGCTTTCTGATCTACAGTATTGTTGTATGCCTGCTTGATCATGTAGAGCAATTTATAAATTAGTGCACTACTGCAGAGGCTCTTACGACTGAATATTGTTTCCTTTCCTGTGGCTAGAACGGCCTCCTTTCCTCTTAAGCAAGTAAAAGGTAAACAAGCAGTGCAGTGAATTAACAGCAAACTCCTCTTGGTTCTCTATAACCCTAACAGTGTGATGTTTAAACATGAGATCCAAGTCATAGAAAGAAGACTTTCTCGAATTTTGTGCTGCACAAGAAAATTTCAGCAAATATTTTCAAAATCATTTTATCCTCTTTGATTCCAGGAACAGAGTGTGCATAATGTCTAATTTAGGTTGACCTTTATTATCTGTCTTGCTCTTAGGTATCCGTGGTAAATCGTTTCATTGAGGAAGTTACATGGTTTTGCTCTCATTTTCTACATTCTTCAGAGGTCACCTGTTCTTTCAGCCATTTGGAAGTGTCATAATGCTTATATTTCTTTTCAGTGTGGCTCTGATAAAATTTTCAGGGACAACATCTACCAGAATACATTTCCATGTCTCAAGGAATAGCTTCTGGGCAACCCATTTACTATTTTTTTTCCAGATTTGACCCAAGCAAGGTATAAAATGCCTGCATTATTCAATGCCTGTAAGAAGTCTCCTTTGGTAGTCTTACTGGCAATTTGTTATGGTGACCAGTATTTGAAGTTATTTTATCAAAAGTCATAGCTCACTCTACTTTGTTACTTTCAAGATGAGTTGGAACAGCAAAAGTCGGGGCACAGATTTTTCATTTTAATTTGGTGGTATTGTACCTCAAAAGGAAGCTCACTATTCTACTGCCAGGGAGTTTTGAGAGGTGTATATGAACAAGGAAATGTGGAGAAGCAGAAATGATGACCAGTAACTTCTGTGGTTTGAGAACATAAGGAAAGATCTCATTAACAAATCTAGGAAATCTGACACTGTGAAAATTAAAATTTAAAATTTAAATCTAAGATCATCTTTTCCTGCTTTGGTGTTGGGATTGTCAAGATTTCCAGGGTAGTGTTTGCTGCTTCTCGTTTTCTTGTTTGAGATCCAGCTGCTCAACCTGGTTTGTGATGATTCAGTTACAACTGCTTCCGGGCTAGGAACAAGTGTCCACCCCTGCAGCTTGTGAAGTCTCTCCTGACAGGGCTTTGTGCTGGCTGGAGCTTGGTAGAAGGACATTTCCTAGCTGCTGTTTCATGTGCCTTTTCTTTCTTTGTCGTGTGCCTACAAGTATCCATGCCCCATAGGGGGACTTCCAGTGCATGTGGTCTCTAATCGGGCTCAGAGTTCAGAAGTCTGCATTGCTGGATGGGAGACTTCTCCCACTATAGCAGCAACAGCACTGGTGGAAGAAGGAGAAAGGGAGGTGAGGTTTAATTTTACAGTTTTCTGAATTTTGGTTCAACACCAGGTTCTTCCTCCCATCCATTTAATTTTGTTGGGACTATTTTCCTCACGGTTAGTTTAGTACTTGTATGTTTACCCATCAAAGTGTGTAAACTTGCAGTAGGAGCTGCTGAGAGTGAACTGTTTCCCTGGTGTCACAGGATTTTAATTTTTTTTTAATATATTCCATTGTAGCCTCTTTTGTGTTAAAAAAATCTCTTAGCCATTGTACTGTATATAAATGTATTTTTGATAGTTACTACTAAAATATTGTTCTTGTAAGTACAAGAAATTTACTAACTTAATTTCATTTTGATTTCCTTGATTTTCTTAATATTCCTGACAAATTATTATGGACTCTTTAACAAGAGACTAGTAAAAGTAGACACAAGTCTGGCTACTGAAAAAGCATTTTTCAGTTACCACCTCCATTATTTTTTCACTGTGAACAGCTTTAAGCCTCTTGCCCCAAATAAACTTGACCAAAAATCTTTTAAATGAACAAGGGTTAAATATATATATTATTTTGCAACTAACCATCTGAAATATGATTTAGATTCTTGTGCTGTATATAATTTGCAGACTGAAGTCAAAATAACAGAAAAAAAACCCTGTTTTTTTCTGTCTGTTTTACACCCATTGCACTGAAAAAGTGAGCGATTGTGCCAAGAACAGAGAAACTCTGTGCTGGTGCCAGAAGTTCACTCCAGGTGTTCTGAGTGTTAGGCTGTTGCCTGATAACCTCCAGTCTTGGGTTTAATCTTATCCAAATATTAACATTCAGTCCTAGATTTTTAAGCTAGAATTCTACCCTAATTATTATTCTGTGTATATGGAATAGAGGGGATAGTGGCAGCTTTTTATTCTTCCAATCTGTAATTTTAAATTTCTACAAGATCAGAGGGACAAGTTTATTTTCAGTAGTTCTGTACTGTTCCATGTGTTTTGTAGTTTGCAGATATCTATCTCAAATACACATTTTCTATCTGCAGATAAATGTTTCAAACTAAAGTGCATTCATGTCTGCAAGGTCATCCCTATATACACCAGTTGCATCTGTTCACCAGTTGTCCAATTTCCTGCTTTCCGTAGGATTTTTTGTGAAGGGAGGCAGCAGAAAGACTAAGATGTAATAGATCTTTTCTCTTTTCCCGTCTCCTTGTGGAACGAATTTATTGCATTACCCTATTTGCTATTCTCTTCACCAGCCCAAATCCACATTTTTCTTTGAGGATTTTAATATACCTTCTGACCTCAGAATGTATATTTGCATGTTACATCTTTTTTAAACAATGTTACATGATGGTATTGTACTGACTCAACAAAGTAACTGACCAACTGTGTAAAATACAAGTATCAGTCCTTGATTTACATAGGTGTGCTGGCCTAATTTTCCATTATAAATTGTCTTTTGTCAATCCGTACCCATACTTTTTGTTTGTTTGTTTGGTCTCAGAGCTAGTGAATATTTCCATTGTCTGAGAGAAACAATCAAGAGAGAAAACAGTATTGCTTATATCTGAATTGTCTGTGTGCATTGCATCAGGTAAAGATTGTGTATTTTCCAGACAGAAAAATCTAATTACTCTTTAAATGTTAGTAACAAAATGTACATTCAGAGTTTAGCGGCTTGGTGTGTTTTGTTTTTAAGTATCCAGTTCACTTTAAGATTTGTTCTTGAAGTGTTTCTTACTTGAAATCTCTGCTTGGCAATGATAAGTGTATACCATGAAGAGATCTCAAAATACTTTTCATTCATTAATTTTTTCTCTCAATGTAAGAAAGCAGTACTAAGCTGAGCATTTCTTTCATGTATTTGCACACAACTTGTAAATGCTACCACTACTATACCTCACTTGTCTATAAATTAAGATTTTTGCCCAGTGTGCATGCACAATGTATGCTTGCATTTTTATTCTTTGTTACAAGAAGAAAGACATGCAGAAGCCCTGTTTTATGTATTTGTGGACTGTGTTTTTGTTCACTGTCAGCACTGACTGTGGCTATCACTGCAAATGTAGTCTAGGAGACCTACTCAGACATTCTTGCTGACAAAATGTCAAATTCAGTAAGAACTGGAATAAAAGAAATCTTTGAAATCAAAACATAAAATACATGAAAATTAAGTGAGTTGGAGTTAGGCAGGGTATTGGTATTCTGAGGCCAGTTTGTAGTATGCTGGTCTTCAAATCACTTAATTAAATTTATAATATCTTCCAAGTGAGGAGAACATATATGGATTTTTCATTATAGCACCCAGATGTTAAATATGGTTTTGGATGTGGGAAATTTTGGTCTTTGGCTGTCTTTGTTACAGGAAATCTTAGAGCTACATTCATAGTTGTTTTAGGATTACTTTCCCGAAATCCAAAGTACCAGGATAGCGTGCAAGTGGATACTCCTGCCTTAAATTCTAGTAAGAGCTTATGTCTCTGATCAC